AACTACACAATTATGCAATTACACAATTATGCAACTACCCAACTGCCCAACTACCCAACTACCCAACTATATGAGTACACAACTATCCAACTATGTGAGTACGTACACAAAGTGTGTACACAACTTTGAAATACACTTGCAACAACGTTTGTGGTTATCTTGGTATGTGTAGAAGTATCCTTTCATATCACATCGATGTGCGTCACATCCTGGCAGACCTAGCTGGACATATGCGGCCCAGTTGCATCTGGCCGAGCAATATCCAACGAATTGTGGGTGAACAGCCAGTGTAGGTGCCTGCCTTTGCCCTGTTTCTGAGAGCTTGGCTTGTTTCAGTTATTTGTTACAAATCTGTAGCTCCTTGCAGTTGCTTACGAAGGGACAGCCTTGTATTTGGTTGCAACAAAAGTACAAGTATGTGCCCTGTGAGTGCAACTTGTTCGGTTGCTTGATGGCAACACCTGTATTTGGCTCCCACCTGGCGTAGCCTACATACCGATGCAGGCAGGCAGATAGCCAGGCAGTCAGGTCGTCGGGAGTCATAGATGCAGCAGGTAGGTAGATGCAGCAGATAGGCATGCACCAACGTTCACGAACCCTGGACAAAGAAATCTGGCCCCCTAGAGGCCTCTAATATATACCCGGGTGCCCGCCTCTCCAACAGCCAAAAATGGATTGCTTGCCGGACCAAAACATTGTGTCACTCCAATATTTCCACAGCAACACTAGGAAGGTAGGTAGATAGGCGGCAGAACGGCGTGTTGTGCGTTGCGTTACGGAAGTACTGTACTGGGTCATTATGATTAGGATTAAGATGTCGTACATGCAGTACACTGCTCGCGTGGTGTAGTGGTTAGCACTGTGGACTCTGAATCCACCGACCTGAGTTCAAATCTCAGCGCGAGCTGAAAGGTGGCCTCGATGGGATTGCTGAGGGTTGCATGGGTTTCACGGTTCTGACACTCAGACAGGACGAGGGAGTTTCCACCCACCCCCGGGGCCAGCAATTATTACCGCGACCAAAACATCTACGTCATCTGGACAGGCAAGCGACAACTTTTTAAATTTAGATTGGCTTGCTTCAGTCATTTGTGTTACACTTGCTTCTGAAGGGACAGCCCTATATTGCATTGCAACACCGGTACCAAGTATACGCCCCGTGAGTGCTGCTTGATGCTTGTTTGGTTGCTTGATGGCAACACCTGTATTTGGCTCCCACCTGGCGTAGCCAACATACCGATGCAGGCAGGCAGATAGCCAGGCAGGCAGGTGGTCGGGAATCATAGATGCAGCAGGGAGGTAGGTAGGCAATGAGCGCATGTAGATACACCCTGGCATTCTCCAGCCCATCCACGCAACAGTATGTGCCTGCCAGGGGCATTGTGTATACTTACAATCCTATCTAATAGCTGAAGGGGGTAAAGCTTCATCTGTGACAACTAGCCTGGCAGTTCCTACGCCTTCACCAGTGTTTTGCGGCATCTTCATCCTTGTCAGCCGTGCCAAGTTCTTTGCTGAAACGTTCCAGCAATTTTTCAAGGTCTAGCATCCATAACACCTGATGGTACGGTTCAGCACCCTCTTCATTTTAGGTTGTTCTTCAGACCCAGCAGAGATTTCTCAGTCAGCTGCAGAGCTACATGCATATACTCTATATTTTGGTGTTGATAATGCATTCAAGTAGAGAGTGTCCTGCAGGTCTTCACGTGCACTGGTCTAACACGTGTTACTTCATTGCACTCTTGCCCCCACGTCTTAAAATTGGCCAGATACTTTCTCCACCGGACGCGGTCGCCAGGATTCGAACCTATGCGGGAGATCCCATCTGATTGCTAGTCAGACCCCTTAACGAGGCGCGGTCCCTGCGGTCCCGAGGGGGCCGTAGCTCTCTCTCGGGTACGGTCTGCATATGCTCGCACATCGCATATGCTCGCACATCGCATATGCTTGCACATCGCATATGCTTGCACATCGCATAATATGCTTGCAGATCGCATCTGATTGCAGATCGCATATGCTTGCAGATCGCATATGCTTGCAGATCGCATATGCTTGCACATCGCATATGCTTGCAGATCGCATACGCTTGCACATCCCATATGCTTGCAGAGCGCATACACTTGCAGATCGCATATGCTTGCAGATCGCATATGCTTGCACATCCCATATGCTTGCAGATCACATATGCTTGCAGATCACATACGCTTGCAGATCACATATGCTTGCAGAGCGTATATGCTTGCACATTGCATATGCTTGCAGATCGCATATGCTTGCAGATCGCATATGGCATATGCTTGCAGATCGCATATGGCATATGCTTGCAGATCGCATATGCTTGCAGATCGCATATGGCATATGCTTGCAGATCGCATATGGCATATGCTTGCAGATCGCATATGGCATATGCTTGCAGGTTGCATATGCTTGCAGATTACAAATGCTTGCATACTGCATATGCTTGCAGATAGCATAGCATAGCATAGCGCAGCATAGCATAGCATAGCATAGCATAGCATAGCATAGTGTAGTGTAGCGCAGCATAGCATATCATAGCATAGTATAGCATAGCATAGCATAGCGTAGCATAGCATAGCACTTGCTGGACAGCAGGTTCGAGTCCTGCGATGGTTTTCACGTTTCCATGCTTTAATGCTTTCGTGTTTTTGTTACTGAGCGCATACGCTTGCACATCGCATATACTTGCAGATCGCATATGCTTGCGGATCACATATGCTTGCAGATCACATATGCTTGCAGATCGCATACGCTTGCACATCCCATATGCTTGCACATTGCATATGCTTGCAGATTGCATATGCTTGCAGATCACATATGCTTGCAGATCACACATGCTTGCAGATCGCATACGCTTGCACATCGCATATGCTTGCAGATCGCATATGCTTGCACATCGCATTTGCTTGCACATCGTATACGCTTGCAGACCACATATGCTTGCAGAGCGCATATGCTTGCACATTGCATATGCTTGCAGATCGCATATGCTTGCACATCGCATATGCTTGCACATTGCATATGCTTGCAGATCGCATACGCTTGCACATCGCATATGCTTGCAGATCACATATGCTTGCAGATCACATACGCTTGCAGATCACATATGCTTGCAGATCGCATATGCTTGCAGATCGCATTTCCTTGCAGATCGCATATGTTTGCATACTGCATTGCTTGCATACCGCATATGCTTGCAGATCGCATTTGCTTGCAGATCGCATATGTTTGCATACTGCATTGCTTGCATACCGCATATGCTTGCAGATCGCATATGCTTGCGGATCACATATGCTTGCAGAGCACATATGCTTGCACATCGCATATGCTTGCAGATCGCATATGCTTGCAGAGCGCATTTGCTTGCACATCGCATATGCTTGCACATCGCATATGCTTGCAGATCGCATATGCTTGCACATCCCATATGCTTGCAGAGCGCATATGCTTGCAGATTCATATGCTTGCACATCGCATATGCTTGCAGATCACATATGCTTGCAGAGCGCATATGCTTGCACGTCGCATATGCTTGCAGATCGCATATGCTTGCAGATCACATATGTTTGCAGATCGCATATGCTTGCAGATCGCATATGCTTGCAGATCGCATATGGCATATGCTTGCAGATCGCATATGGTATATGCTTGCAGATCGCATATGGCATATGCTTGCAGATCGCATAATGGCATATGCTTGCAGATCGCATATGCTTGCAGATCGCATATGGCATATGCTTGCAGATCGTATAATGGCATATGCTTGCAGATCGCATAATGGCATATGCTTGCAGATCACATAATGGCATATGCTTGCAGATCGCATAATGGCATATGCTTGCAGATCGCATAATGGCATATGCTTGCAGATCGCATAATGGCGTATGCTTGCAGATTGCATATGCTTGCAGATTGCATATGCGTATGCTTGCAGACTGCGTATGCTTGCATAATGCAGATGCATGCGCATATACATAACATATCGCATATCGTATATTGCATATCGCATATTGCATATTGCATATCGCATATTGCATATTGCATATCGCATATTGCATATTGCATATCCATATGCTTGCAGATCGCATATGGCACATGCTTGCAGACTGAATATGCTTGCATAATGCAGATGCATGCGCATATGTATAACATATCGCATATCGTATATTGCATATCGCATATTGCATATCGCATATTGCATATCGCATATTGCATATTGCATATCGCATATCGCATATCGCATATTGCATATCGCATATTGCATATCGCATATTGCATATTGCATATCGCATATCCCATATCGCTGCATATGGCATATCGCATATCACATACCGCATATCGCATATATCGCAAATTGCATATCGCTGCATATCGCAAATCGCTGCATATATTGCATATCGCATATACATATATGCATATATGCACTTATATGGAACATAGAACATAATCGCGGTAGGGATCGAACCGGCGACCTTCCGTTCTTTACGGCGCGGTCTTAAGCGCGTACGGCACGCTCCCGACCCGGATTTTCCAAAACGCTCCGGACAGACAACCGGACAACCATCGAACGAACTCGGGATAGGCCTCCGCTCATTTCATATGAGCTACGGCTACAGACAACCGGACAACCATCGAACTCGGGATAGGCCTCCGCTCATTTCATATGAGCTACGGCTATAACATGGGGATCGCGACCCACACGGCCCCCACTCTCCAAGTCATGAACTAGTTTGCGCCCAACTACGCAACT